AATGTTATTGCCAACACCTCTCTCGTTGTTGTTCTAGAAGAACCTTGTAGATGGTGGTTCCGACTTAACTCGTGTAGCAGATCGATAAAAATAGGCGCAGTCATTCTGAAAATATTACTGAACCTTATCGGATGTCCAGCAAGCATCTCACCCACCCATTTGTCCCCAATAAAAGAGGACGTCATGCGTGGTATCCGTCTATAACTGGAGCGATAGTACTCCAGCAATAATATCGCTATAGCAGCAGCCCATGCCATTCTTTTGCGACGGTCTTGCAGTGGGTGCATCCTGAGATGATAAATAGATTAGGATGAAAGAAAATATGTAGAGGTAGCGTAAAAAATAAGTGAGACAACATTTTCTGAAGATAGGGAAAAAAATCAGATAATACATAGCACCATAAAATAAGAGTAGCTGCTGTAATAACAATACATATTTGATAAGTCTAATGAAAGATTAGTACAAAGTTGACTCATTCTTCAACTATAACACGTAAATACTCAATGCGCATCTCGGACCGTAGTGCAATGAATATTTCCCTACGAGTAGGGTCCTCGAGCTTTTGAAGACATTTTGCCTGAAAGCGCATATCGGATGCTACTTCTGGAATAGTATCTAAGATGGCCAGGCAGTCCCAAATGGTGCTGTCAGGAGGAGTTGGAGCTGTGAAAGCTGCAATTAATTCAGCAAATGAACCTTTTACAAAACTGTCACTCTCTTTCTTCTTCCTCGCAAGTCTGGGCCTTTTGGACATGGAATTGGACTCCTCCATCTCTTTTTGGTTAATGCTAGGAATTTCTTCATCAGCTATAACCTGTTCAGGTGGCAAGTCATTTGACATTCCTGTAAATCCCATCTCGCTTGGGTTTGCTGCGTGCTTTCCAGTCGCGACAACCCCCTTAAACATGATGTCAAGTTTTGTCTCGAAGTCTGGCTCAATTTCACACTGCCTATACTTTTTCGCTGCTGGTAATGCCTGTAACAAGCTTATTTAAGGGGATCAGTTTGAAAATAATTTGAGAAGTAATGTTATTGAAAAAATAAATGTATAATATTACCTGAATTTTCTCAGTCCACCATTCAGCTGGAGCATCGATCGTCCTTTTAATTGGATCCCATCCCAACCCGGTAGCACCACGTTTCAACTCTTTCCATAATTTCCATTCTTTTTTCAATTGGTCCCATTTGTTTTTGAATTTTAGCTTGTCGTAATCCCTACCAGTTAATTCTTTAAATCTCCCAGCTATATTACTCCAGCCTTCTTTATTAAAATACGTTGTTGGCCTATTCCCCAGTTCAGTTTCTTTAATGCATAGGTCACAAAAAATATTTGTAACTTCTTTATCCCACATTGCAGACGTACTACCTTCAGTTGCCTTAGACGTTTTGGTACTATTGGGAACAAATTTAAAATAAGCACTATTGAAAGCAACCAACTTTTAAACAACAACTAGTCGAGAAATAAAAAACCAGAACCAACATAATATCCAATGTATAAATAAAGAAAAAAGACATGAACACGAGAGATTTTAATGTGGTTCGGTCGGAGACCTACGTCCACAAAAGGCAACCCACGTATATTTTATTAACGAAATCGAAATACAAGTACAGCTATAACAATGAACTATAGCAAATACAAGTACAACTATAACATTGAACTATAGCCAAATCCAAGGTGAAGTTCCAACTTTCAAGAGATAATCTGGAAGCGATGTTGATATCAAAGTACCTAAGCCTTCACTGTCCTGTAGGGACGAATATCAACTTCTTTTGAACACATCAGCCAAGGACTAAAGCCCCAATGTGGTAAACAAAATACCAACAATGCTATCAAACACCAAATTCCACAACATCACCAACATATGGCCATTACAATGGCCATTACAATGCTATCAAAATACCAACATATGGCCATTACAATGTCTTCCCTCTTCTCATTGTCTGCAGGTATATCCAGAGCACATGTGCCACTTCTGGAGAATGGCTGTATGAAGGACTTGATTGGCTCTCTAACAACATAGCTAATAAGGTATGCCTGCAATTGCTGTAAATGGCATTTACACATTCCACAAAATTCTTATGTATTTATCTAACATCTGAACATTTATATTTTATATACATAGCACTCAATTCTTTAGCATTACATCAAAAATACCACCATCAATATTTTCTTAAAGTGAAACACACCTTCTTATTCATAGGTTTATAAAACCAAGGTGTTACATGTGTAAATATTAAATTTTGGGTGTTTATATGTTAATGCATTAGAATTGTGTGGTATATATGTAAATTTCCGAATCACCAATAACTATTGCTAACCAGACCTGTGTATTTTTGTTGGTTTAGAAGATGGAATTTGGTGTTTGATAGCATTGTTATGTATTTGTGTTATAAGTAGAAGAAAAATGCTCAAATAAAGCTCTCACTAAACACGCTGAAATGAACTTATCCACTAAATACTCAATGCACAATCTTCCCCTCACGCTCACAGTCACTCCACTCACTCAAACTTCACACACACACACTTTAAATCCTTCCCCTAACATAACTCCACCCCATATATTATGCTCCAGCATGTGTAAATATACAACTGAAACCATCAAATCCAGCCCTGTATGGACCAAAACCGAGCCAACAAATGTAAAAATAACTTCCAGCATTTATTTAGGGAGCCATAAGAGTAGTAAAGCTGCATAATGAAGTCCCAAATGTTTAAGATGTATATTTACACATGAAGGAAATATCAGCACATCAGAGCTGAAAGTTGGATGAAAGAAGAATAGAATATCCAGCATGTGTTAATTCTATCTATCTATCTATCTATCTATCTATCTATCTATCTATCTATCTATCTATCTATCTATCTATCTATCTATCTATCTATCTATCTATCTATCTATCTATCTATCTATCTATCTATCTATCTATCTATCTATCTATCTATCTATCTATCTATCTATCTATCTATCTATCTATCTATCTATCTATCTATCTATCTATCTATCTATCTATCTATCTATCTATCTATCTATCTATCTATCTATCTATCTATCTATCTATCTATCTATCTATCTATCTATATATATTGTTGTGATATAAGTAGAAGAGAAAAGCTCTCAGCAAAAATGCTGAAATGAACGCATCCACTTAACACGAACTGCACAATCTTTCCCTCACGCTCACAGTCAATCCACTCACTCATACTTCACACACACACCCTTTAAATCCTTCCCATAACATAACTCCACCCCATCATGTTTAAATATACAACTGAAACCATCAAATCCAGCCCTGTAGGGACCAAAACCGAGCCAGCAAATGTCCAAATAACTTCCAGCATTTATTTAGGGAGGCATAACAGTAATAAAGCTGCGGAATGAAGTCCCAAATTCATTTAGGGACCAAAACCGAGCCAACAATGTATATATATATATATATGAAGTCCCAAATTCAGCATTTCATGTAGCAAATAAAAATAGAGAAATGAATTTTCCATTGCTTCTCATATGTGCTTCAGCTACCCAATTCGAATCAAAGCTTTTAAAACCGAAATCCCCAATTTTATAACCATTCAAGTTTATGCTTAGATGGTGAGAAAAGGATCGAACATAGCCGAAATTGACCACGTAAGGTGGAAAAAGTAAATACATAAGAATTATATGATCAGTATGCAAATGCTCTGCATAATCTGCATTCAAAGATAAACCATGAAGGCCCAAATTTTGCATTCGCATATATGGAAATGCCCCTTCAAAATTAAAAGCTCAACGATAAGAAGATGAAAAAAATTACAAAAATACATACAGAGCTCCGTGAGTTCGAATCAAAGCTTTTAACCAAAACCGAAATCCCTAATTCTATAACCATTCAAGGTTTTGCTTAGATGGTTAGAAAAAGGATCAAACAGAGCTCCCTGATCGAATGAAATCTTAACCAAAACCGAAATCCAGCACTGTAGGGACCAAAACCGACCCAAACAAATGAAAAAATAAGCCATAAGAATAACAAAGCTCAAGAATTTGTACTGATTCTTTTATAACCACCATATGAACAGAAATAACTGTGACAGAGATCGAACACGGCCTCCGGGAAGGAAGGAGACGGATATCGGGTAGGGCAAGAGTGAGGGGTCGAAAAAAAAATACCTCATATCACGGATCACAGCTTCAGGCAAGCTCGAAACCGAAGGCGAGACGGGAAGGGCGAGGGCAAGGGGGAGAAACGGGAAGGACAACACGGGAAAAACAACCTAAACGCGAGAAGCATACGCGGAACGGCGCCCCTAACCGGATTACCCCGTCCTTAAGGAAATAGCGGTATTAAAACGACGCGTTTTAAAAACTTGTCATGCGAACGGAATTTCCAAACGGAAGGGCGGCGTTTTCAAAACGCCGCCGCTTCCCAAACGCGCCCCCAAACGGGCCCTTAGAGTTCTATCATCTCCGAGTCGCGCCTCACCTTTTCTAAATTTCCCTAGTTGTATTGTTGGCATAGGTTGGGAGTGAATAATGTAATATCACTTGTCTGACTTCGTAGAACACCATGGCTTTTTCTATTCTTTTTTTTTTTTTTTTTTTTTTTTGGAAATGTGTTCTATATATATATTTTTTATTATTTATTTTTATTTCATTTTATTTATATTTTGAAACAAAATATGTCTAACATATTTGATTAAAGTATGATTGTTTTTAAGAATATTTTTAAAAAATGACAACTTATTTTTAGAAATAAAATATAGAAATGTAAAAAAAAAAAAAATAATAAATAAAATTGATTCGAGACAAGCTAGCTGAAATCTAATGCCACCCACAACCCGGCCTTTGTGACTGTGAGAGGTTTGTCATCCGGTACCATTTAGGATGAGCGCTTGTTTTATTGTGTGTGCATTGGGATTTTCGCTAAAAAAAAATCAGGTCTTATAACTAGCAAGATGTTATTTATTGGGATTGATTATTCGGTCTATATTCTCAAAGTGTCTAAATTCCTTTTGATATTTTAAGGCTTTACCCAAGAAAACCGGACCCAGCAGTAAAGGTAAGAAGAAAGAACTATCGCCACAAGATGCAGCAATGGCAATCCAGAAGACATTCAGAGATCATTTGTCGCGACGCTCTCGGACTCTTCATTCTCTTAGGGACCTGGCCGTGGCTAAGTCCAAGCTGAAGGAGATTAGAGTCTTGTTCTCAAAATTTTCTTATCGTCATCGGTTATCAAAAGATGCAGAAGAGCGGCAGAGGTTCTCTGAGAAAATAATCATTCTTCTACTCACCGTTGATGCCATTGAGGTAACGATGCTATCTTTTCTTCTTTTATAATGTCTAATTAATCATTCATTTTTTAAATTTCACTGCAAAATATAATTTTTATCTCTTATGAAAATAATAACATTAGATTGACCTTCCACACACTTTTTTGCCCGACCTAGAATTTTGGGATATGTTATTGTATGAGTTCCCATAACATAATGTTATATTCCCCCGCTGACCCTATTTTATATTTGGAAGATTATGTGTATAATGCTGTATCTGAATCTTAAATATATTTATATATCTTATAAATATATCTCTTTTATTTTATAATTGGAAGATTTACATACATGCAACTCAATTTCTATATATTAACATATCTAGCATCTGAAATTCAATTTTTACATTCATGTGAGCTTAATTGTGCATGGAAAGGTGCATTTCACTTAAAAAAAAAAAAAGAAGTTGCATTTTTATGTGATATAAAAGATTTTGGTGGTTTAAATGTAAAACATAAAGTTTAGGTGTTAGATATGTAAATGTGTAGGAATAAAGTAGTATGTATGTAAAAAAAAAAAGTTGCATTTTTATTTATACTGAATATGATAATTATTTTTTATTAGTAAATTATAAAATATTTGAGATGCATTGCTATCGTTAAAAAAAAAAAAAAAAGATTTCTATGACTTACAAAATTCTCATGTAATTATATATGTAACACCTAAACTGATTTAAATCTATAACCTTCTCAATGTATGAAAATGTGTATTTTATTTTTTAAGACTTTATAATAGTATTTGATGCATGTCGGAACACTTGCGAAGGTAGAGTGAGTATGTAGTGTTTTAGTGTAGGGCAAAAGATAAAAGAGAAGCACAAAGAGACACCTCGATTTGTTAAGTGCAATACCTTGGAAAGGGAAAATTCACAGGATTTAGTCCAAATGAAATGATCCGCTTATAGTTATGAGTATATAGATCAACTCTTTTCTTAAATTAGAGAAAATAGAGTTACAATGTTGTTCTACAACGGTAGTTCAACAATGATAGTTGTAACGCGCCACAAAGGTCATAGCTAATTGATATGAAGGCAATATCTTTTCATGACTATTGTAGATGGGGGCTTTAGCGCTAGCTTGTCATAGAGGTCATAGTTTAAAGTCGTGGTATTAGTTGGTCATGTAGGCCGCAAATAATTGTTTTTAGATTGTCGGTTGGCCACAAAAGTCAAAAATAGTTGTGAGTCACGTAGGCCATAGTTGTTGTAGCGGTGAAATGTGAAACTGTTTTTAGGTTATAGAAGTCGGAGTTGGGACTTACGTGAGTTATGAGCTATATATGCTATATTTAGTCATTTATATCACAGCGGTGAACTGCGATAATGTTCGTAGGCCACAGAGGCCAGAGTTGGAAGTTGTATAAGTTGTGGACCACGAAAGCCGTAGTTGGTCATATAGATCGTAGTGATGAGCTACATTAACGTTTGTGGGCCACAGATGTCAAAGTTAGGAACTACATAAGCCGTGAACCATGTAGGTCTTAGTTGGCCACAATGTTATAGTTGTGAGTTGTGAGTTGCGATAACGAACATAAGCCACAATGGTTGAAGTCGGTAGTTGTATGATCTGTGATTACATAGACCTTAGTTGGTCACGTCGACTGTAGTGATGAGTTGCAATAATGCTCATAGGCTATAGAGACTGAGTTGGGAGATGCATGAGTTGTGAACTACCGTGTGATGAAGTGTACTAAAGTCCATATGTCATAAAGACCAGAGTTAAGAACTGCATGAGTTGTTGGTCATATAGGTTATAGTTGGTCATACGGGCCGTAGTGGAGTGTTGTAATAGTGTCAGTTGACTGTCAAGGTCATAGTAAAGGGCTGTAATTGTAGTGAACTATATAGGTCGTAGGCCGTAGTGGAGAGCTTTGAGGAGAGAACTTCAAGAGTTTGAAGAAGGTCGTTATAATTTGAGTACAATTGTTGTAATCAATTATTGTGTAGAGTTATACTGTAATCAGGGTGTGTTGTTACTCTTCAAGAAGCGTCATTACACCACCTTCAAGACGTGGCATTATACTGTATTTGAGGTGTATTATTACACTGTATTCAGGGTGACTCGTTACACGACATTCAAAGTGCATCATTGCGTCGTTTTCGCGGTGCATCGTTACAACGTCTTTATGGTAAATCATTACATTGTCTTCGGGGTGCATTGTTGCACAGTATGATTCATCGACGTCAGTGATCAAGGAGCGAACAGTGCTGGTCGAAGGTGGTAAACAAGTGGTGTTCGACAATGGTTGGTAACTGTGGGAGTATGAAGTGTTCACCATGTCTTCAGTTCAGAACAGTACTTTGATTTGATTGTCTTCTCTCGGTCCAACTTTAGCTCTAGGTGTCACTTACATTGAGCGGGGTTAGGGCTCTATTTACACAACCTGAGAGAGGTCTCCCTACAAATTGGGAAAGAATTTGAAACACTTCATCGGACGACACAAAAAGATTCCCACGATTGGACATTGTATTGTGGAAATTAAGTGCTTTAACGATGTTGGAATTGAGTGATTTTGGGCTTATTGAATTCTTCTCATTGAGACACTCAATTTAACTATAAGCTAGTCAGATTTAAAATCCACTTGTCTCTCCAATTAGCCACTGAAAGCTTCTAAAAATGGTTAATGACTTGATGTGGGCTTGATTTGAATAAGATTGGTCCAATTTTGTTGTCTCATCGAGTTGGTCAGTTTGATTATAAGTTAGTTAAAATTGGAGTTATGGATGATTTTTAATTTGAGTTTGAATGTTTCTTGTTAAAAAAAAATGCTTCTAGATTCATGTTACACCTTGGGATTTAAGCCAAATAATGAAACTTGTTGATGATGTATTTGTTGCAGCCCCCACCCCCCTTGGGATTTAAGCAAAATAATGAACCTTGTTGATGATATATTCGTTGGGCAACTTTGCTTATTTGTAGAAAAATCATGCAAAATTTCTAAAAAAATTGAAATTTTTTTATTTTTTGATTCCACGGTTAGCTGCAGGCAACGACGGTGGTGGCAGGGTGTGAAATACAGCTTTGCTCGAAGTAGGTCGTCGGTCTAGAGTCAGGCAAATTGGGGCTTGGGTGCAAGTCGTGGGTCTGGTCAGCTCGGCAGGTTGAAGCTGGTTGACAAGGAGGTTAGTTCGGAGAGACCAGGCCGTGTAGTGCTGCCGAGATCTAGCCACATTGTGGCACGATCAACCTGCCCGGTGATGTGATTTGCACGTGGTTGTGCGATCGATCACGTGGTTGTGCGATCGATCGCGTGGTTATGCGATCACACAATCATGTGGATCACAATCCATGTGTATATGATTTAATGGTCTGGGTTGCACACGTTACAGGGATGCATAACCGAGTTGGATCTACTTGAAGGCTTGATCTAGCCATTGATTTGGGTTGGATCGGACGTTGGAGTTGAGACTGCCGTGTTAGACTCCAATTTTGGCTCTTTTGGACAATGCTTTGGTTTTTTTAACCTATATATAGACCAAAAAGAGGAGAAAAATATTGGAGTGTGCCTGCCCGTTTGAGCAATCTACAAAGCTCCCTTTTGTGTTACTATTGCCCATCTCACTAGAGATTTTCCATGATTTTGTGGCATTTTTCAGAGGGGATTTTTTATGCAAATGTTGTGTATTCCCGTGGGGATTTTCCACGCCATTGTGGTGTTTTTTCGAGGGGACTTTTTAGGCAATTGTTACATTTTTTGGAGGAAATTTTTTGCATTGTTGTCATGCTTTTATTAAAGAGTTTTATGCGTTGCCATCGTGTTTTCTTAAGGATTTTTTGTGTCACTGTGCTGTTTTTCAAAGGAGATTTATCGTGCAACTATTGTATTATCTAGAATGTATTTTCCACGCTACTGATGCATATTATGAAGGGGATTTTCAGTATTGTTGTTGCATCTTTTGGAGAAGATTTTTTGTATTGTTGTTGCGTGTTTATAAGGGGATTTTCTGTACCACTAGTTTTCTTTAGGAGTTTTTTTTTGCGCTGTTATCCCGTTTTTCGGGGGAAATGTTTCGTGTTTTTTTGAGGAGTTATGGAAATCCTGCCCTCGCAACACCCCCACCCCCCCTGAGAAGGCAATGTTGGTACTCTTAGAAGAAAAGTTGGCTCTTTTTTCGATAACGTGGAAGATCGAGCTTGCAGAGAACGACTACATCTTTGGTGAGCACAAACAGGTGAATAACTCCCATGCAATAGACACATTTTCTTTGGGATATCATTTAGCAAAGTGTAGAAAAAAACCTTCATGAAGGTTTTTTCTCACTCAACAATACCAAAAACTAATGGATACTCGAGAATTGAGGAAGACACAAGTTAATCTTGATCAGAGCACGAAAACTTTGCAGGCTTTTTGATCGAGAGTATTAGCTATTTAAAGGGAGAATGTATAATTGTGATCCTAGCTTCATGAGGAGAATTTTTGCGACGCTTTTGGCAAAGCGTTTGTCGATCGTGTCGTCAGATTGCGACTGATCTCAAGAACATGTCTTTCATTTAGGCGTCTAAAGATTCCCCCTCAGCCCAGAAAAAAGGGTTCAATTAAAAGTGACTTGTAGGAGTATACTTATGATGGTGACGAGAATACTATAGTGAATTGTTGATTTTATTTATGTTAACTTGCAGTTTTTGTACTAGTATCTGTTGGTCGTTGTAGTTTTTCAATTGTGTGATGGGACATTTGTACTTGGTGATAATGCGTTTGTCTATATATCTTTCTTTTGCTTGATGTAGTAAAATTTGCCCCCAGTCTGGAAGTGGTTCTGTTAGACTTGATGTATGAATGAAATGTGTGATGATTAACCCAACACAATCGTGTTATGGATGTTAACATGAACATTCTTTCAACCTACAAGGAAGGTTGCCCTTCATTCTGGAAGTAATTTTCATATATTGTATGTTTGAATGAAATGTGAGAAGGTAATCCCACCACAACCGTGCCTGAGATATAAATGTGAATGATTTTTCAAGATTGTAATGAAGATTGCCCTCCACATCAAAAAATTTAGCATCGCAAACTTGAACTTGTGTCAAAAGGGACTTTTTTTCCACAAAAGGTGTCAAAATGATGCGTACCAAAAGATTCATCGGGCGACTAAAAAAGATTATTAGCTGCATGAGTTGTTGACCACGTAGTTCGCAGTTGTTCATGTAGGCTATAGTGGTTAGTTACAATAACGTCCATAGGCTACAGAGGCCAGAGTTTGGAACTACATGAGTTATGAGTCATGTAGGTCGTACTTGGTCACATAAGCCGTAGTGGGGTGTTGTAGTAGCGTCAGTTGGTCGCTAAGGACGTATTAACGGGTTGCAGTTGCATTGAACCATTCAGATCATAGGTCGTGGTGGGGAGCTGTGAGGAGGGAATTCCATGAGTTTGAAAGTCACGATGTTATGAGTACGGCTTATGGGGAGTTGCACCACACTCAGTGTGTGTTGTTACACCATGTTTAGGGTGTCTCATTACACCGTATTTGTGGTGCGTCATTACACCATTTTCGGAATGTGTTGTTACACCATCTTCAGGATGCATTATTGCACCAATAAGTGGTGCTTCATTACACCGTATTAGGGTTGTGTCATTACGCTATTCTTGGGGTGTATCGTTGCGCTGCCTTTGAGATGTGTCATTACAATTTTGGGGTACATCATTATGTTGTATTTGGGGTGCGTCATTACAACATCTTCGAGATGCGTCATTACACCATCTTCGAGTTCCATTGTTAAACTGTTTTCGGGGTGTGCTGTTACATTGTAAGATTCATTGACATTGTCGAGTAGGGGATGGCTAACAATGGCTGATACAACATCTTTGAGATGACAGAATAATATTGGAATTCCCCTCCTCTAAGTCCAACTATAACTTCAGGTCCCCTTTCATGAACGAGCTATTACTATTTATAGTTTGAAAGAGGCTTTACTAAAATTAAGGAATGAAATACTTCATTGGGCGACTCAAAGAGATTCTCACGGTCAGATGGCATATTGTGGACGTTTAAGTGCTTTAACAATATTGAAATTGAGCGATATTGAGCTCGTTTGATTTGTCTCATCGAGAAGCTTAATTTTGACTATAAATTCGTCAAAATTGGATTTTGTTTGAACCTCCAATTAGCTATTTAAAGTTTCTAAAAGTGATTTAATAGCTTGATTAGAGTTTGATTTGACTCAGATTTAGACTAATTTTAATGTCATCGTGTTCGTCTAATCGAGCCGGTCAGTTTTCCCTGTAAGTTTGCTGAAATCGAAGTAATGAATGATTTTTGATTGAGTTTGAATGTTTCTTTTTTAAAAAGTATTATGAGGTCGTGTCACATATCAGGATTCTTGTCAAATGATGTAAAATTTGTTGATAATGCATTTACTAGTATTTTTGGTGTACCATTGAAAGATTTGAATTGTATAAATATAAAAGTTAAAATTGAAATGTTAGATTTGTATATAAAAAAAAAGGTGTTACACATGTAAATTCAGTAGAATTGTGCGGGAATGTATGTAAATGCTCCACATACATGATTTCCAGCTTAGTTGAATTGTAGGCCTGCCAACAATATTCTTATTATCGAGACTTCTTCAAGGCCGCCCCGTCCTTTCCTTACAAAATAAAATCTGCATGTACAGTCCTATTTTCTTGTAATATTCTACAATCAACTAGTCTTGATGCACTTGTTTCTGTATACCACTATTAATCTGCAACGGAACAATTGTTCATAGGGTGAAGATTCTATGGTACGCTCAGCTAAGAGATCGATGACCCGTGAGCTGGAAGCCCTGCTTGAGGTGGTCGATCCGCAACCATACCCGGAATTAGGATCAAGGCGACCAAAGCTTGATCTGCCGGCCATCTCCTTCCCAACTGAGATTGCTTCCGGCTTGGCTGATGTCCTCTGCATGCTCGATCAAGACGACGGTAGCAGCAGCATCCTGCCCGACTTATCGCTCTGATACTCACTTGTGTAACAGAATGATTGTATTACGTCCCAACTCACGATCTGATCTTATTTGGTGGGGCTTATTTGACATGTAGCGCCTCATTATTGAACTCCGAATACATCTATCATATATAATATTTTTCTTGTAACAGAATGATTGTGGATGGTCCTCAAAATGGAAGGATTATTACGTATGGTGAACATAAATATGAAATTTTAGTAGTAATATAATGATATTATATCACAAATATAATATCTTGATAATATTATCAAAATATTATAAAATTCATACCTATATCTATATCTATTTCGTTTGCCTCGGAATGTGTGCGTGTGTTTTTTTGGTTTTTTTTTTGTGATGGTGAAAGGCCGACGGCTGGCAACCAGTTGTATGATTGATTTGAACGGGACCTGTGTCTTCTCAATCTACCCTTGCGATGTAATGCCAGGATGCATTTTCCCTGTGGAGAGACAAAAAAGTGCCATCTGCCATTTAATATTTGTACAAGTTGGCGACATTTTCGGCTGCGGCCATTGCAATCTGCATAGGGTTTCAACGGCCGGTACATCTTGAGAAAGCCTGCCACCACCAGCATTCGGTAAAATAAATTCTTAAATAAAGCAAAATAAATTACGCGTTCATCTTAATTTGTTAGCTTGCAGGTTTTGAGTTTTGTCATCCATATAGTAGCATGTCTTATCTGTCTGTATGTATGTATGTATAGAAGTAATTAAATTAGCCTAAAATTAGAAGAAAATTTTTTTTACATATTTATTAATGTTTAGTTAGTTAAATTTTTTAAAGTTATATGAGATTTTAAAATTAAATTTAAAAAAAAAGATGTATTTTTGAAACTAGGGGCATTTATATATATACCATTCATTTCCAATGCATTTAAACATCCAAAACTTAAATTTTACTTTTTACATTAATATCACTCAAATATTTCATATCACAACATAATAATATTATTATTTAAGAGTTGAAAAAGTGAAATGAACATTTTAGTGTATAAGTAAAGTGACATGTAAGTAAGAAATTGAATTTAGGTGTTAGATATATAAATACATAAGACTTGAATGATATTCATGCAAATCATACAATTATTTATACTTCTTTGACCGTTCCATCCGGCAAAGTTAGTACATAAATGTTTGTCCTGATTTTCAGGCTGCTTGATAGTGCAGTGGGAGGACCATGGCTGGATTGGATTGGACATATTTGGTTTTTCTTGCCTTTATGGCCGAGAGAGACCGCTTGGAGCCAAACTATTTTTTTTTAGGAATGATGAGAGTATCTCGGGGAGCAAACACGCAATTATAGTAAGAAATTTTGGGTTCCGGAGCACAATCTTAATTTTTTAATATTACTGTTGTAATGTTTTTACATTTACTTTGTACAAGCAAAAACAATTATAATTTCTTTAGTACTAAAAAATATTCTTTGTATTTTTTTAGTTCTGAAAATCATCTGTATACGATTGAGCATTATGATGTGGCATTGATCCGTCGGGAGAGATCTAACTCCATGACGGACGAAAGTCAACAATTCTCTCAAAGAGTCATCGGGTTTACTCGAACAATCTGCCAAGATTCCTCATCCAGGGCGAGGGGATGGTTGGAGCCGCCCTAATATTAAAGAGGCATCCAACACCTCTAGATCAACCCTTTGGTCATAGCCGCTTAGATCATAACTAGGTCAGGCACCATCTCATGCTTTCGGCCCATAAACACATGAATCATAACCGGGTCAAGAGCCATCTTAGGCTCACGACCTATAGTTACTCGTATCATAATCCGGTTAAATGCCATTTCAAGCTCGCTATCTTACGACTATGTATTGCACAAAATACATAGTCCTAAGCTCTCTTATGAAGCCATAAAAATTATTCTTATAGTAAACCCACGAATTTGACAAGCAAATTTTCTTCCAAAAATGATTTCTCGCTACGTCAGCATGGTCACGCTTAAACTGGCACGGTCACGTCTAGTCTCTGAAAAGGGTGGCATTTTCATTCTCGATTCAGGGATGGCCACACCATTGGTCTAGAATTGTGGTGAGGTCACGCCACATTTTGGCATGGTCAACTGTTGTTATCAAACATGTGGCATGGTCATGCCGCCTTCAAGCGTGGTCACACCACTTCAGGCCACTTTTTTGTTGGTTTTTCTCGTATAAAATTGCTCGTATTAAGTACTTGTAACCTGCACAACATCGAGAAAAACATTTCTCAAGTGTAAAGATGTAATAAGGAAGTGGAAATAAGATGTAAAATGCTGGAAAACGTACATATGAAATCACATATAATTGACACATGTCATCAGTTAACTTGATGATAGAAAGATCGTGGTACGATGTTATACGACCTCGAGAGGAAATCTCCCCATACTGGTGAGAAACCGCGGAGACTGATCCATATGAGAATACAAAAGACATTGTGATGGGTTTCTTTGGGTGTAGTAATTCCTCATTGTCTCCTCCAAAAATCCTTTCATTCATGCATGGGCCAGTAATGAGTGTGGGGTAACCTAATCTTACAGTGCTTTGACAACTACCTATGTAGACTATGGACCGGTGAATCACTAGCCCTATATCTATTATCTTCCCTTGTTGAATACGAAAGTTTGGGACTGCCCAGTCTTCTGTGACGTCAATGAGGCTTGTGATGGGGAGGAAGCGGGCTATAATAAAGCAGTGGCAGGTTCGGGATGTCAGATTTATGTGTGTGAGTGGGAACATATACATTTTTTTATTGAGTAGAATGTCATCATATCGAAGGGAAGCATCTATATTAATGAGCTTTTATGAATCAAAAGAGACAAGGCATTTAGTTCCCTTAGTTCTATGAGCCATGTGAAGAAATATGAGGAAAATTCTTAAAGAATGAAAGAAAGAGAAAAACTTATATGCACCAAGAATCCTTGTCCTGTTATCATGATAAATAAATGAAATAAAGGGAACTTAGACTAGTTTAAAAAAAATTAATAGGTGTCACGATGCTTTGTAGAGGCAGTACGATGCTGGAAAGAGATAAACTACAGTGCCAATGCGCTATCAGGGAGTGTTGTGGCACTACAAACAGAAAAATAGTGAAACACTATGGTGTTATAGGAGAGCATGACAATACTACAAAAAGTTTAAGAGAGAGGACAATAGTTATTGACATCAAAATCTTGAGAATATGGACTCTATGGTGCTAATAATGGGTGTGGTGGTTCAATTGTCCCAAAATATATAGTAAAAAAGGCATCCTAAAACCCACAAATTACCATAAATTTACCATCAACTCCCATCATTTTCATACCAAAGAATCATGTTATTCATCAAATCAAAAACATGCAATGTTGCAAGGATGATGAGTGAGATAATGACACTGTCTCCGATTCCTGACATGCAAATAGGTAAAAGAGACATGACAAGAGCTTGAAGTGGTGCTAGACATGCAACACTGTGACACTTGTTAAGGAGATTCAAGGGTTTTATGCCACATGATAGAATTCTAGAGAGATCATTAGACAATAGAGCTTTATGGAGCACTGCAGTGCTATCAAGTGAATGTTGTGGTGCTATCAACATAGTGTTGCATCGTTATAAGCTCAAAACTATGATGTTATTGGGATAATTTCTAATAAATCAAGCATGATATATTCATGATTATCCAAATTTCTACAATGATGATATATTCATGCTTATTCAAATTACTACAATCATACTCATTCACTAACAAACTGTCAAATAAAAATGAACACATAATAAGATAACACTTAGGTTACCGTTCAAGAAGCCCTTAGTTTATTTTCCTCAACCTGATAATGAAAAATTTATTTGGGATGATCTAACTCAATGAGTTCTCAATTATTATTATTATCTCCTCCTAAAAAGGTCTATAATCTTTGAACATTAGCTTTGAAAGTATGAATGGTCCTTCCATCCTCAATATTTATATCCCCAATAGGGTAAACCTTCACTTTAATAAAAGGATCATACTACCTAGACTTAAGCTTCCTAGTAAATAATTTCAATCAATCATTAATTCATAAAATCTCTTATTAAGGCTCAAATCACTTCTTAGCTAGCTTTTGATTATGCTAATTTTCATATGCTCCTTATAATTCTTGACTTCCTCATAAGTTTTTACCTAATTTCTTCAACCTCATTTGACTATAGTAATTTTTTCTGTTGAATAATTCAGATTATGGCTAAATTCTTTGACATCGCAATAATCCTTATGTTCTAATTCTAAAGGTAAATGATAAGCTTTATTAAAAATTAACATATAAGGATACATTCATATTGAGGTTTTACAAGTATTCTTATTGGCCATAGAGCATCATCTAACCTAAATGATCAATCCTTCTTATTAGGGTAACTATTTTCTTTAAAATTCTCTTAATGTACTTATTTAAAATTTTAGTTAAAAAACTAGTCCGAGGATGATATGTAGTGATAATTATATGTTTAATTCATATTTTGTTATAAATTTATTAATTCTTTGATTACATAAGTAGCTCCCTCCATTAATTATAATAACCATGGGTGATTCAAATCTACTAAATATAAATTATTTTAAAAAAAATTTTAACACCTTATGAATTACAACTAGTTAGAGTCACTGCATCCATTCATTTTGAGACATAATATACTAAAACTTAAATATAATTATATTCTAATAATGGTACAAATGATATCATAAAATATGTTCCCCATACATCAAATATTGCAACTTCTAAATTATAATTTAAGGTCTTTTCATTAATTCTAAGAGTCTTTCTTACCTTTTGACATTTATCAATTTTGTTAAAATATTCATGAATATTACTAAATTTGGTAGGCCAACAATTAGAAAATTTTGAGTTAGGTCATTCCATATAGTTATTGATCAAGAAGCAAAAAATTCAACCATATTTTTAAATTGTCTCTTATGGAAAAAGAGAACAATCTAAGCATAATAACATTATCAAAGACACCGTCAAATTTAATATTTGCACGAATTTCTAAAAAATTGATAATGTAAAGGTTTGTATCTACTAAAGGTGACCCATGAAAAAAAAAGTTGAACTATTTAAATGATTTCAAATTTTTGTTCAAACTTTTTAACATTGGTAGTAAGTCTATTACTCCTCTGATGTCTACCAAAGACAAAATTCTAAGGTAGACTAGATTGATGATTTTCTTCCAGTTTTTTAAGGTCA